AAATAAACTAATTAATGAATATAATAAAAAGTAGCTAGCAAAAAAGGAAATAAAAAACTATTACTACCCACTTAGAAATATAAAACTTCTAGGTTTTATTGACTGCAAAAAAAAAAACTAATTTTCACATGAAAGCATTTTTAAAACCTGTCTTACGACAAGGCTAAATAAACCCCAGCCAGCTCTCTCACTTCCAGTAACCGTACAAAAAACGTTATTTCAAAGTGTGAAAGCCAACACTTATGATCAAGAAACAACTGGAAATGTTGCAGAATCCCGTAGCTGATACATGAAATGATTCCATAAAAATGTAAATAGCCTCCGATAAATATGACATCGGCCGGGCAACAGGGGTAAAACCGCTTGGATTATTGCCAACAACCAAGTGTAACTTTTACCGCTTATGTTCAAAGTTAGCAGCATTTATATCCGTAAGCTGGCTAACATCTTATTGACCAATGACTAAACCTCGACCTAGAAAAAGACCACGAAATGCAAGTTGTAAATTAGCACTGGGGACCCTCTGTTTGGTTCCTCCGTTGATCATCAGGGCAGCAGCAGTAACCTTCTTCTCTCGACGGCGAAGTTACAAGCGATTAAATGGAAAAAGATTAGGATGGATATTTTGGCAACAGTCATTTTTATAACAAACTTTTTTCAAATTTATACAAGTGGCTACATATCAACCGTTGCAGAAAGTAACCAGTTAGTCATAATTCATCATAATCGGAGGTTTCAACCACTTCAGTAATAGTGAAAAAAAAGAAAAAAAATGGAGGAGGGATAGAATACCTTGGAAGATTAATTTAAAAATTGCAGTACTTTTACCTGTTTAATACTATGCGTTTAGGCTTTTAGCTTGGAATTCACAGCTTTCATGCCAGAAAATACAAGTGAAAGACGATTAAGATTTTAGGCAACGTTTCGATTGTCTCAAAAAAAGATAGCAAATAAATCAATGTGTTTTGTTTGAGTCATAAAACAAAAAAATTCCATCATTTTTTGAAGGACTGGTTGAGTTGAAAATTTTTTAGATGTATAAATTAGTCTAGAAAGGTCCTCTTCCAGTTGTTTCACTGGCAAACTTCGATCTGTTAAGGCCGCTCTCTTATCATTTTAGTCTATGGTAACATAAAGAAATTTATTTCTCTCACTACAAGTAAAATACAGTTGAAGCGTGTCGGAGTAACCATCTAAGCAGATAATATTTATATTCCAGTCGTTTGTATGTTGTGAAATAACTTGTACATTGAATTCAGATGAAAACAGTTAAACTAACTTTTTTTGCTTCAATCTGAATACGAATTCAAAAATTATAAGCGTATAATCTATCAACTTTCTGAGCCAGTAAGTGAATTACTAAGCATGGTAGCTAAGGAAATATCTCGAATACTTACTGGACTTGATTTTTCACGCCATTTCTATGGGCTTGGTTTTTTTTTTCTTTGCTGTCTATAATCAATGTTGCGAAAATCGCCTTTATTAGTTGCATACTGTCAGTTATGTAATGGTAAATAACTGTTGAAAGATTTAGCAAAAATACGAACATTGTTACCTTTATTCTCAGGAAATAACCAATTTTGAAACAGCATCTAAATGTCTGTGGAAAAAACCTTAGGAGGTCAGCTATGGCTTTATAATTTTAGCTCGATGACTTTATTGGCATTACTGTAGCAGCAAAAAATTTGCCGACACTGCTGTTGTTACAGTATTTCTATGGACAAATTTCACATCTTGCACAAAATTATTCATGAAGAAGTTAATACAGTTATTCTTTTAACGTTCAAAAACCAATTAAAAATCTAAAAGTAAATACCACAAAGTTTCTTTCAAATAGTTTAGCCAATTTTGATTGTTGTCTGGTAAATTATTTTGGATGACTGTCTTCTGAATCAATTTATTTTTGTTCTTATTATTATTTCTGATAAATCAAAAACTTATCTTTACCATCTACACGTCTGGATAATTTTGCGTCATCTACATTGAAATTCTTCTAAAGTACGTCAAAAAATTTGCTGTTTCAATTCTGAACAGTCAAAATCCGATATTTTTATACTGAGTCAAGTAAAACAGTTTGGAATGAAATACTTTGGGCATTTTATTTCTACTGCCAGAACCTTGAAAGTGCTTTTCCCAAATAGTTCGCATTGTTTTTTTTCTTCCTAAAGTCTCGTCTTATTTTGAAAAATAATATTTTACTCCTTAATTTGGATTATGTTGACATAGAAATAAAATAAAAACACGATGTCTGTATAGCATCAAATCTTTCCTTGTAAACAAATCTGTTGAAATAAGCCTTGCTCTGTTCTACAGTTGTAAAAAAAGCTTTTGTATCGATAGTTCCCACGGATCACTGAGCATAAAGCGGAGAACGGAATTACAAAGAATGTTCCAGAAAAAATGTTGTTTAGTCGGAATTTGTTATCTTTTCTATCTGTAACTTGTTTTTTAGATTCAAGCGTGATTCAAGATGAACAGAACAAGGTATGTCGGCGTCAAAAAGAATTTCAGAAGCTGAAGAAGGGTATATAGAAAACACAGAGAAGTTATCAGTGTTTGTTTGTGCTATATTTAATGTAATAGGGTCAAATTCCAAGCTCAGAAGAGTTCCTGGAAAAGAGTAAACAGTTTATCTGGTACTAAAAAACTGTATGAAGTGAAAATTTAGGTGAGACAAAAAAATGCTAGGGCATAGAAATTGGTACAAATGAAGGAATATTTCAAACAAAACTTTTATTAATTAAGAAGTCTTTAAATTTAGAGCTTTCAATGCTGAAAAATATTTAAAAAATTGATTTATGGAGAATATAAGTGGAACTATTAAGGATTGCAAAATGTTGTTATAGAGCTAAATTTCAAATATATTAGGGATTAAAGATTGAAGCTTGAAAGTGATACTTTTCATTGGAGCACTTTCAAAGTGTTAACTGACTGTTCATAAATTACTGCAATTCTCTCTAAAGAAGTACCGATATGTGATCATAAAATCTGAACCACTTTATTGACAGCAAAAAGTAATTTCTTACACATAGAACTGTTTACTGTACGAATATTTCTATATTCGTACAGTAAAGTCGTGTCTTTATCACTCTTTCTTTATAGAGGATTCTTTACTTATTATATTACCT